TCTCTTGTGTTGTTGGAAGAGGGTGTTTGCTATAACCAGTGCGTTCTCTTGGCAAAACTCTGTTAGCCTGTGTCCTGCTTCATTCTGTATTCCAAGGCCAAAGTTGCTGTTTTTCCACGTATCTCTTGACTTCCTACTTTTGCATTCCAGTCCTCTATAATGAAAAGGACATATTTTTGGGTGTTAGTTCCAGAAAGTCTTGTAGATTTTCATAGGACCATTCAACTTCACCTTCTTCAGCATTACTGGTTGGGGCATAGACTTGGATTACTGTGATTTGAATGGTTTTCCTTGGAAACAAACAGAGATTATTCTGTCATTTTTGAGATTGCACCCAAGAACTGCATTTTGGACTCTTTTGTTGACTATGAGGGCTATGCCATTTCTTCTAAGGGATTCTTGCCCACAGCAGTAGATATAATGGTCATCTGAGTTAAATTCACCCATTCCAGTCCATTTTAGTTCACAGATTCCTAAAATGTCTATGTTCACTCTTGCTATCTCCTATTTGACCACTTCCAATTTACCTTGATTCATGGACCTAACATTCCGGGTTCCTATGTAATATTGTTCTTTACAGCTTTGGATTTTACTTCCATCACCAGTCACATAGGATGTCTAGTTAATATTTATTGATTATTTACCCTGTACCATGTGTGGACTAATCACATACAGTATTACTTTATTCCTCAGTACAAACCTAAAAGGTTTGTATACTGTTCTGCTTTTCACAGATGAGGGAATAGAGGCTTAGAGGAGTTCAGTAACTTTCCCAAAGATGCATAGCTGGCAAGAGGTAGAGCCAACATTCAAAGCTTAGCAGTAACATAGAAGATGGCAATCGAAGTTAGGAGTAAACTCACTTGCAAGGAGAGTGTGAGCAAGTCATTGTAAGAATTTATTCTGACATTTCTTGATTAGTTATGTTGTAGGGGAGGAGGTAATTGAAGAAAATTTCCAGCACGATTTTCAGGATACTAGCTTGAGTGGCTGGATCGATGGTAGAGTCATTAAATGATACAGGGAAGCATTGTAAGACCATCTTGACTGTTAAAATCACTGGATTCTGTTTGAGATACCTGGACTTTTATGAGGTTGTAGGAGATCAAGATGGACATATCCAGCAGTCCTAGAATTTGTAGTTCTAGACCTAGTCTAGACCTCGAATTCAGGAAGGAGATTTAGATTGAAGAGAGGTATTTGGAACTCATATATATGTAAACAAATACAAATAAAGCTATGTACAGTACTTTCATGGAACATTTTTCAGACTGAAAAATAGATCCTGAAAAAAAGACTGAGATTGGGAAGAGATGACCATAGATATATATTTTTTTTAAAAAAGAGTAATGTCATGATGCCAAAGAAGGAGATAATGCTTAGAAGAGTCAGATATGACAGGAATATTAAAAGGTATACAACCAAATCACATATATGGCATCTGGCATTTAGCATTTGAAAGATCAACTTAAGAGTGGTTTTATGATTGACCACATAAGCAAATAACTCAGCTAGTTTAGGCTACTGTAAATACTTTCAATTATTTTTTTTTCTCTACAGACTCTTTAAATAAAATTGGATTAGCATCATTTCCCAAAAACAATCTTATATCTTCTGCAAAAGTTATTCCATATGGTGAGTTGATAGCCATGTGATTATTATCCATTGAATCTTCTTTCTTCTTTAACTAGATGTCTCTTTTCAAAAGCCTCATCTCACGTTGATAATACTTTGCAGTGAGGAAGAATGGGTTTTATATTTAGGCTCATGAAAGTTTTAGAATTCTGTTTGGGTTTTTGCATGGACTCCCTAAATGAAGGAAGAAGAATTAAGCTTTATGATAGGAAGAAGGAGGTACAGAGAGCAATCTTTTGTCCTCATCTATTCATATGCAAATTTCATATTTAAAATATCTTTCCAGATCCTGTAATAAGATTTTGCATGTAGGGGCAAAGGGAGAAAGCAGTTTTTTGGTATTGTTTCTTAACACACTTTTAATTTTTAATTTCATTATAACTTAAGTGTTATGTTAAATATTATGATCTTTCATTGCTGTCTATGCAAGTATTGTACATATTACAGTTGATGATTTGTAATAGAAAATTGCACAGGGAGCTGTAAAGAAGGAAGAATGTCTGTCTCTTGAAGGGGAGTCAGAGAAGGCTTCATGGGGAAGATAGTATTTGATCTGAGTCACAGCAATATTCTAGACAAGAGAACGGCATTCGGATGTCTAAGCAAATTTGGAGTGTCTGGGGATGGGTAAATGTTTTCACACAATGAGAAAGAGACATAAAATAAGAACATATAATAAAGAACTGCATACCCTTTGCTCGCAAATAGAATTTTCCTGCTAGAACATAAGTTCCATGAGGGCGAGGATTTTTGTCTGTTCTATTCACTGATACAACACCAATGTCTAGAGCAGTGCCTGATAACACCAAGTACTAATTAAGTATTTATTAAATGAATGAATAAATACAATTCTGTAGTTATTGTTGTTCACTTACTAAGTCATGTCTAACTCTTTGCAACCCCATGGACTGTAGCCCACCAGGCTCCTCTCTCCATGGGGTTTTCCATGGAATACTGGAATGGGTTTCCATTTCCTTCTCCAGGGGACCTTCCTGCATTGGCAGGTGGATTCTTTACCACTGAGCCACTCGGGAAGCCCATAATTCTGTAGGCCAGTACCTATAAAACCTGACTGGTTAGCAGAGTCACTTAGGCAAGCTTTTAAAATCAAATTCTTCAGAGATGGGTCTTAGGAATCTGCATCTTCTTGAAACTCATCTGGTGTTTGGTAATTGCTACTGTTGACTATAGCAAGACATATTGGGAAGGGGTATGTTCTTAATTATTTCAGTTGAATGGGTCATTAGTTTGATCTCTTTTTCTGTAGGTGTCTGTGGCATCCCTCCGTTTAGTCCCCAGTGGCTTTCTAGAAGAATTGCAGGAGGAATAGAAGCCTGCCCCCACTGTTGGCCATGGCAGGTGGGTTTGAGGTTTCTTGGCAATCACCAATGTGGAGGTGCCATCATCAATTCGATTTGGATTCTGACTGCAGCGCATTGTGTGCAATCGTGAGTGAGGCTGATGATATTTTATTAATGTATTTATGTACCATGTTGTTTGCTGAAACTGAAACTCCAATTCTTTGGCCACCTGATATGAAGAACCAACTCACTGGAAAAGACCTTGATGCTGGGAAAGACTGAAGGCAAATGGAGAAGGGGACAGCAGGGAATGAGATGGTTAGGTAGCATCACCAACTCAATAGACATGAATTTGAGCAAACTCTGGGAGATAGTGAAGGACTGAGGAGCCTGACTTGGTAACTGAACAACAACAATAGTCATGTTGTTTGTTGTTTTAGTCACTAAGTTGTGTCTGACTCTTTTGAAACCTCATGGACTGTAGCCTGCCAGGTTCCTCTGTCCAAGGGATTTCCCAGACAAAAATACTAGAGTGGGTTGCCATTTCCTTCTCCAGGGGATCTTCCAGACCCAAGGATCGAATCTGCATTGGCAGGTGGCTTCTTTACCACTGAGTCACCAGGGAAGCCTTTTTTGTACCATACCTAGGACATAAGTATAATTGTGTAACTCCTAAAACCATGCAGACTGATTCTAAAGCATGATTCTTCCTTTCAGTGTTTCTGACCCATGTCCATCTAGCCTCTTTTTAAACAAGGTCGGTGAAGAAAAGCAAATCAAATCTTGAAATTGTTCATCCCATTTACAGGGATCTCTGATTATTATGTTGAGCCCAAGTCTGCTTCTCTATAGCAATAATTTAATAATCTAAATTTATTGCAGTTCCAGAAAACAAGAACTCAATCTCTTTCTATTTGCATGTAATCATCCTTCCTAGACTTGGAGATCCCTCTCACATTGCCCTTAACTTAATCTTTAAGCTGAATGCTTACTGTTTTAGTATTTGTAACTCCACAGTCCTCGTCATGCAGTGCATTATACCCTGGATTGATTTAGGATCATTCCTCTTAAAGTGGGATCACAACAGTGGAGAACACTGTAGGATAATTCACCACCTTGATCACTGAACTCTCAATGTTTTTAAATTGTAAACTATACCATGATGTGAAAAAATATACAAAATATACACATGTAGTCTAAAGAATGGTCCTACTATTTAGTGTAAGAAGGATTTTTACACTATCAAGCCCTCTCAGTGCCCCTCCCAGAGAGGTAAACATTATATTAAATTTTGCATTTACAATTCCTTTGCTTTTTGAGGGGTGGTTTTAACATCTATGAATTCCTAAAACCAGTCTATTGTCTTGTTTTTCCTGTATTAATGTAAAAGAATTACAGTTTATATTCCTCTGTGATTTGCTTTTGTCTTTAAAATATATCATATGGATTATCATGTGGATGTGTGTAACTATAATTAATTCATTTTCAATCCAGACTAATTAAGTTAATCACTTGTAGACATATTCTGGACTCTGTGTGTGTGTGTATGTATATATATATATATATATATTTCCATATGTTTTTATTAGTTAGAGGCTAGTTACTTTACAATATTGTAGTGGTTTTTGCCATACATTGACATGAATCAGCCATGTATTTACATGTGTTCCCCATCCCGATCCCCCCTCCCACCTCCCTCCCCATCGCATCCCTCTGGGTCTTCCCAGTGTACCAGCCCTGAGCGCTTGTCTCATGCACCCAACCTGGTGATCTGTTTCACCCTTGATAGTATACTTCTGTGTTCTTAATAATTCTCTCTCTTCCCACTGTCATGTCCCTATCACACTGTCTTGTGATTTCTTATCAATTTAGCATCTCCTCCATTAGATTGTAATTATCTTGAGGGTAGGGGCAGTGCTTAATTCTTGGTAACTAATATTTAGACCCAGTCCTGGCACAGTACGTGTTTACCAAATGCTTGTTGAATGAATGAGTGAGTGAAGAAGGAAGTTGCCTCTGTTGCATACAAAGAGACAATCACTCATATGAGGAATTGATGAGATCAGACTTCTGCTAAACCCTCCTCTGGACACCAAAGTCAAACCAGAAAGCAGGAAGGGGAGATCAGTGCTGAGGAAAGGGAAGGGGTAGAGGTCTTTCTCCTCTGTCCTTCCTGGCTCCATGCTATTCTAAACCAGCATCTGGAACTAAAACACACACACACACACACAACAGAACTGCTGAGTAGCCAATACGCTCTGCTAATGAACTTGAGCAATGTCCATCAGTTGTTTGGGTAGGGACAGGGTGACATAGAAAAGGCCCAGAAAGGCAGAGGAAGTGTGAGTGTGCAGCTGAGGAAGGGATACCTGTGCTGTGCTCATTTCTCATGTCTCTCTCTCTATCGCAGTCCCTGGCTGACAAGCGTCCTGTAAGTTCTTCTCTGTTTCTTCTTCATGGCCTTGAAGTTATGGCCAGCACAGGAGCCTGGGGCAGTTGTACCAGTCCTTCTCCCCACAGCTGCAGGGAAGTGTCCCCCTTTCCACTAACTCCAGTCACTCTAGTCCTTCTACCTCTCTGTTCCTGACACCTTCCTGCTCTGTTCTGCTCAAGAGCTTGCTCTTTGACCTCTTCTGCAGGAAGAGGAGGGCAAAGCTGATAAAGGAAAGGCAGGCAAGGAGACAATGTCTTCATCTATTTGCAGGTGCACTAAGGCTCCTGGGGGCGGGGGGTGGGGAGCCCCAGCTGGAAGTCCCTAATAGGAGCAGGAAGGCAGCTCTGAAAGAAATATTCACAGGCACAATCTCACTCAAATCTTTGATCCACGCTCAGAACAAATTCTTGTCTTTTCCATTATTTTTACCTACAAACTCAGTATTTCATACTGACCTTGTTTCAGCTCCTTATTTTCTTGTCTGAACAAGAATCAAAAGTGTTTTGGGTGTGGGAAAAGAAACTGCTTACTCATTTGCCTTATTCATTTCAGACCCTGATATTCATAAAGATTCATGAAAGAAAGTCCCAGAACTACCCCAGAGTAATGTGGGCTCATCACTTGCTTGGCAACTACCAAGCANGTAGAAGGTACCTCAGTTTGAGTTCATCAGATATTTTTTCTCATGGTTTTTCTGGGACTCCACAGGAAATCCACAGAGGTGACATGTCCTTTTCATCACTTCATATAAAGGGTACATGCTACCAGCATGATTTCTCACTGATGATGTTAACCTGGTATTTGCCAGGTGTCACCACTGTAAAGTGACATCCTCCCATTGTTACCTATTCTTTGCAAGCAAGTGGCTAAGGGTGGCCCACACTCAAGCAGTTGGGCATTAAGCTCTATCATCTTGAGTGCAGAGTTTTCTGCATAAATTAAAGTTATTCTGTATGGGAGATTTGCCTCTTCTTTTCCTTCTATTGGGGCTTCCCTAGTAGCTCAGTTGGTAAAGAATCCGCCTGCAATGCAGGAGACCCCAGTTCGATTCCTGGGTCAGGAAGATCTGCTGGAAAAGGGATAGGCTACTCACTCCAGTATTCTTGGGCTTCCCTGGTGGCTCAGCTGGTAAAGAATCCACCTGCAATGTGGGAGACCTGGGTTCGACCCCTAGGTTGGGAAGATCCCCCTTGGAGAAGGGAAAGGCTACCCACTCCAGTATTCTGGCCTGGAGAATCCATGGAATGTATAGTCGATGGGGTTGCAAAGAGTTGGACATGAGCAATTTTCACTTTCCTTTCACTTATTGTGTATTAAACCAGTATGGGCTTGAGGACATTTACTTTTTGTTAATACTACATATTTATTTTGTTGCTTGAATTGTTCCAGCTTTGATCCCTGTGAGTTCTTTCCGGGTGAGTGTTCCAGTTTTGACCACCACTAGTTCTTGTCTTTTTGACATGCCGCCATCCTTTTGGGACAAAGATGCTCCAAGTTCATCTTATGTGTCCCCTCTCAGTCTTAGAAGCAGCCATTTCTCCCTTAAGCTGCATGAGAAGTTAAGATCTGAGTGCTGAGCATCCCGGCTGCTACTAGGGTGTTGTTATTGCTTATAGCACCTCTTAGCTCACAGAGTTAGAAAGTGTAAGTAGGCATACTAACTCACTTACATAAACCTATTTTTCTGTCTGTACCTATATTAAGGTAAACATGAGATCACACAGATATTTCCAACTCAACCACATGGTTCATTCTAGCACCCCCCAGCCCTTGGAGAAATTCAATTTGTAAGAATTCTATCAAAGTGCATTTTTATGTACCATGGAAAAGCCTCAATCACACCTGACTAATTAATGAAAATTAATGTATTGGAGAAACCAGCTATTAGTACTGATGCCAGAGGCACAGAAGCTTTGTCAGACTCCCTTGTCAAATAGTTTATTCTTGAATTTATGTCATAGGCTATGATTCTTTGCAGCAAGATATAGACCACACCAAACCATTCTTTACAAGATGAAATATTCAACTTGAGGAGTCAATTGAGATTAATAACACAGTCAGCTATAAATGTTTGTGAACCATTTAAGTTAACCACAAAAAGATTTGTATGTAATTTTAGTGACCCTTCTTGTTTTCTTTGTAAAATTTTGCTTAAGTAGTAGTATTGTCTGTTTTTAAAAAGACAGTTCAAATAAAGTTATCAAGTAAAATCTAAACTACCCTCTCCGTTTCTCTAATCCATTCTTCCTCTCTAGAAGTAATCAATATTAAGAATGTTTTAATTATCTGATTTTACCTTAATGTTTATACATATATATTTTATGTAGTATTTTATAATTTTTACACAAAACATTGTGCCTTATACTTATATTGATGTGGAATATAACTTTAACTTTTATAGTTGTCTAATTTACTTGACCAGAAAAATATCATTTTTGAAGTTGGGACTGTGTATATCTTTACCCCAGAAGCATTTGGGATGCTAGTGTAAAGAATTAGTATGTTCACTCATGCCTTGCCTTTGGGAATCCTTCAGCTGATTCCTTCAAGAACTTTCTTCTCCTTGTCTCATCCTCACCAATCTTACGGATATCCAGGGCTCCAGCCTCCTTTGAACGGGAGTACCCAAATCCACTGGGAAGTTACTGCATGGAATGAGCCAGCTGGGGAAATGTACAAAATCTGGGAGCTGAGATAGACATCATTTTTGCTGAAGGTCACCACGTGCCAGGCTGGCTGACATTGCTACAAAAGATGATGAGGACAGCTGACAGCAACATTGTGCTACATCCCATATGCTACCGTCTCTAGCACTGGTTACCCTTAGTATTAGCCCTAGCAAATGTCAGAATTGTCTGGAAGGTTTCTGACTTAAAGTCTGGTGTGGAGCCAGAGAATCTGTGTTTCTAACAAGTTGCTGGGTACTGTTCTATTTTTAGGGAAAACCCGGCATGTTCTCCTTTTGTTGACTCCACATTCTTCTTCATGCTCATGTGGGGTTTTAGGTCCTAATGTATAGCACAGGAAACTCTTCTCAGTGTTATGTGGCAGCTTGGATAGGAGGGTAGTTTGGAGGAGAATGACTGGATGCATGTATATCTGAGTCACTTTGCTGTCCACGTGAAATTCTCACAACACTGTTTATCTACTATACTCCAGTATAAAATAAACAGTTTAAAAAATAAACTTAATTTAGGGGAATAAACTCACTTTGCAGTTGTACATTGGAATCTATCTCAAACCTAAATCAGTAGGTTTTTTCCAGTTTCAGCCACCTTTATTTTCTTAGAAGCTGCCTTTTAAAATACTTATTTATTTGGGCTTCCCAGGTAGTGCTAGTGTTAAAGAACCCACCTACCAATGCAGGAGATGTAAGAGACATGAGATGTGTGGGTTCCATCCTTGGGTCAGGAAGATCCCCTGGAGGAGGGCATAGCTACCCACTCCAGTATTCTTGCCTGGAGAATCCCATGGACAGAAGAGCCTGGCAGGCTACAGTCCGTGGGATCACAAGAGTCGGACATCACTGAAGCGACTTAGCACACATGCATGCATTTATTTCTTTATCCATTTATTTTTGGGTGTGCTGGATCCTCTTTGCTGTGTGGGCTTCCCTGTAGATATGGCAAGCGGGAGTTACTTTTCATTGTAGTATGCGGATTTCTCATTGCAGAGGCTTCTCTTGTTGCCGAGCTCAGGCTCTAGGGCTCTCAGGCTTCAGCAGCTGTGCTCCCAGGCTCTGGAGCACAACCTCAATAGTTGTGGCAGATGGGTTCAGTTGCTCCACAGCATGTGAGATCTTCTTGGACTACGGATGGAAACCAAGTTCCACGTACCAGCAGGCGGATCATTTACCACTGAGCCACCAGAGAAGCCCTTTCTAGGGTTAACCAGTTCTTGTTTTTCTCTTTGCAGCTTCCTTCCAAAACTTAGATAAGAGCAGTTGGTTTCCATCCAAGGGAGGGACAGGGGTATGATTCTAGGGCAGCAGCCTTGGTAACAGCTTTAAGAAATAAGTTTCTTTACTACCAAGTACTGATTCAGAGAGTGACTTTGAAAATAAAGTTGATCCTTCCATTAGAGTGCATGACAGATAATAACAATGATAATGGCTACCATTATGGGGTCATTACTATCTCCCGTATACTTGCTAAGCACTTTACTCTAGTCGGCTCCCTTAATAAAGGCACACAGAAACACATCAGTGAGTCAGACTCATCATGCAAGGAACTGAAATGAGCATCGTTAGGATTAGAGAGAAGATGCCTACCCGTGTTAAGAAACTTTTTTCACTAAGTGTATTGAAAAAATACTTTCCTTAACTTTACTTTTACTGAAGAAACAGTTTTGAAAAATGAAGAATCAGTGACAATATATTTGTGGCAATTGAGGGACTCTTTCCTTGGATATTTTTTCAGCTGTTAATGGATGTAGATTCAAATTTTTAAACTTTTTTGGAAACGTATTAAATGTGTGCAAAACATTAGTGCAGTTAGAGGAATTTATACAAAGCAAACAACCATGTAACTAGCACCCAGACCAAGAAAAGAAATGGTTCCAATACCTTGGGGTCCCCCTTATGCCCTCTCCCCTTTAAAAGTAGTCAGTGCCCTAATCTCTGATATCAGATGTGAATTTTACCTATTTAGGAATTGATAAATTAACCTTAGCTTCATAAATTCTGGTTATTTTATAAAAGGTGATAATTTAAAAGATATATTCCTATAATATAGTATTTGAATATTTTTAACAGTAAAGCATAGATCTCATTAGAAATGTAATTTTCTTCATGTATTCCTAATGTCACTATGAAATTAAAATAAGTTCTAGGTTTCTTTTTTCCTTCTCAACTTAAAAATAAGCTGGTGATATTTGATAAATGCTCCAAAAACATTTTATGGACAAAAGAAGGGGGCAAGATAGACAATTAGGAACTTGTCCTCAGATAGATCAGAAAGCATGGTGCAGCTTTCCTGGTTACACAAAGATGCCAGACAAGGTGGTGGGTGGCCCCTGCCTGGACTGAACAGTGGATGTTGGTAGGGCCAGATAGGATTAGACCAAATGGTGAAAAATGTGTTTTCATATCAAACTTTGGTTGTTCTTCCTCCAGGAAAAATAATCCACTCTTCTGGACCGTTGTTGCTGGAGACCATGACAGAACCTTGAAGGAATCAACTGAGCAGGTGAGAAATGTTTTTAAAGGTCACTCCGCCTATTCTCTAAATTGTCACATGCCAGGGAATACATTTGGACTTCCCTTGTGGCTCAGCTAGTTAGGAATCCACCTGCAATTCAGGAGACCTGGGTTCGATCCCTGGATTGAGAAGATCCTCTGGAGATGGGGAAGGGTACCCACTCCAGTATTCTGGCCTGGAGAATTCCATGGACTGTATAGTCCACAGGGTTACAAAGAGTCAGACATGACTGAGCGACTTTCATTTTCAAGGAATACATTTATCTAAAACATGAGGTCAGTTATTAATCTCCTAATGCCCTCTTATACTTATCATTTGTACCAACATTTAAAGATACAATTTGAGATCACATTTAATCTGAGAATTAGGCTAAGTGAGTTAGAAAGTACAAACTGAGGTCCGTGTACACAGGTCCACAGAGTCTAATTTTCCCAGGACCACCATTCTTCAGAAAGTGCTTCATGGATTCCTGCAAATTATTAATAGATTTCCCTTTTAAATTTAGTACAAAGTCACCTTCACTGGGTGACATGTGGAAAAGCAGAGATTTAGGATTATTTCGGACCAGTATACAAGGAAGTTGTTTGAATCATTGGCTCTGTCTTGTAATTTCTTGTTTGCTCATGATGCAGGTGAGAAGGGTGAAACACATCGTGATGCACGAAGACTTTGACACACAGACCTATGACTCTGACATCGCCCTGATACAACTGAGCTCTGCCCTAGAATTCAACTCAGTGGTGAGGCCAGTATGTCTTCCCCACAACTTGGAGCCTCTGTTTTCTTCTGAGATTTGTGTTGTGACTGGCTGGGGAAGTGTTAGTAAAGGTAAACCTTTTACTTTTGCTTAATCATCACTACTGATTGCTGGTTTTGAGAGCATGTCATGGAAACGATATCAACCAATATCTGCTTTAGCCCTTCTTCCTTCTGAAAGATAAGAACCATGGTTTATTTAACTGTAATAGTTCATCAGATTAGAGAATGAACTATTTTATAATTTTTCCATCAGGATGGCTTAATCAGAGGTAGGCTAGATCTGTGAAAGGCCAGATAGAATATCTTATCCCTTGTAGGCCATATGGTCTCTGTCACAGCTATTCAAATTTGCCATTGTACCACAAAGCAGCCTTCGACAATATGTTACAGGATGGATGTGGCTTTGTTCCAATGGAATTTCTCCATGAAATTGAAATTTTATGCAATAGTCCTGTCACAAAATGTTATTCTATTTTTTGGATTATCTTTTCAACCATTTAAAAATGTACAAACCATAATTAATTCATGGATTGTAATAAATAGACTCAGAGTTGGTGTTGGGAGATGGTAGTAGGGGCCGACATGGAATTGGCCTGCTGACTGCAATCTGAGGAGGCCTGGGCTAGATTCTAGAGTTCTTAAAGCCATAGTGAAATGCCAAAAGACCTGAATGAGTTGATATTGTTGTCCTGCTTCTGTCTATATGTCATTTAAACTCTGTAAGCTTGCAGATGAAGAAGACAAACTTATGGTTAGCAAAGGGGTAAGGGGAAGAGAGGGATAAATTAGCAGTTTGGGATTAACATGTACACACTATTATATACAAAATAGGTAAACAACAATGTCCTACTGTATAGCATAGGGAGCTATAGTCAATATCTTATAATAATCTGTAATGGAAAAGAATCTGAAAAAGTATATATGTGTGTGTGTGTGTGTGTGTATGTATGTATGTAAAACTGAATCACTTTGCTATATAGCAGAAGCTAACACAACTCTGTGAATTAAACATTGTTGCTATTGTTCAGTTGCTAAATTATTTCTGACTCTTTGCAGCCACATGGAATGCAGCACACCAGGCTCCTCTGCCCTCCACTGTCTCTTGGACTTTACTCAAATTCATATCCATGAGTCGGCAATGCTCTCTAACCATCTCATCTTCTGCATCCCCCTTCTCCTTTTGCCTTCAGTCTTTCCCAGCATCAGGATCTTTTCCAATGAGTCAGCTCTTCGTATCAGGTGGCCAAAGTATTGGAGCTTCAGCTTCAGCATCAGTCCTTCCAAAGAATATTCAAGGTTGATTTCCTTTAGGATTGACTAGTTTGATCTCTTTGCAGTCCAAGGGACTCTCAAGAGTCTTCTCCAGCATCACAGTTTGAAAGCATCAATTCTTCACTGTTCAGCCTTTTTTATGGTCCAACTCTCACATCCATACATGACTACTGGAAAAACCATAGCTTTGACTAGATGGGACTTTGTCAGCAAAGTGATGTCTCCACTTTTTATTATGCTGTTTAGGTTTGTTATAACTTTTCTTCCAAGGAATAAGTGTCTTTTAATTTCATGGCTATAGTCACTGTCTGCAGTGATTTTGGAGCCCAAGAAAATAAAATCTGCCACTGTTTCCAGTTTTTCCCCATCTACTTGCCATGAAGTGATGGGATGCCATGATCTTAGTTTTTTTGAATGTTGAGTTTTAAGCCAGCTTTTTCACTCTTCTCTTTCACCCACATCAAGAGGCTCTTTAGTTCCTTATCACTTTCTGCCATTAAAGTGGTGTCATCTGGATATCAGAGATTGTTGATATTTCTCCCAGCAGTCTTAATTCCAGCTTGCGATCCAGCCAGCCTGCGATTTCCCATGATGGACTCTGCATAGAAGTTAAATAAGCAANGATAGCATATTAAAAAGCAGAGACATTACTTTGCCAACAAAGGTCCATCTAGTCAAGGCTATGGTTTTTCCAGTGGTCATGTATGGATGTGAGAGTTGGACTGTGAAGAAAGCTGAACACTGAAAAATTGATGCTTTTGAACTATGGTGTTGGAGAAGACTCTCCAGAGTCCCTGGACTGCAAGGAGATCCAACCAGTCCATCCTAAAAGAGATCAGTCCTGGGTGTTCATTGGAAGGACTGATGCTGAAGCTGAAACTCCAGTACTTTTGCCACCTCATGTGAAGAGTTGACTCATTAGAAAAGACCCTGATGATGGGAGGGATGGGGGCTGCTGTAGGAGAAGGGGACAACAGATGGCTGGATGGCATCACCAACTCAATGGACATGAGTTTGAGTAAACTCCAGCAGTTCGTGATGGACAGGGTGGCCTGGCGTGCTGCGATTCTTGGGGTCGCAAACAGTCAGACACGACTGAGTGACTGAACTGAACTGAACTGAACTTATGTGTAGTCTCTGTGTTGTTGTAAAAGATTGTTTGCTATAACCAGTGTTTTCTGACAAAACTGTGTTAGCCTTTACTCTCCTTCATAACTAAACTTACCTGTTACTCCAGGTATCTCTTGTCTTCCTATTTTTGTATTCCAGTCTCCTATGACGAAAAGGATATCTTGTTTTGATGTTAGTTCTAGAAAGTCTTGCAGGTCTTCATAGAACCAGTCAGCGTCAACTTTTTCCATATCAGTTGCTGGGGCTCAGACTTGGATATCTGTGATGTTGAATGGTTTGCCTTGACTATGAACCAAGTTCATTCTCCTGTTTTTGAGCTTGCCCCCATGTACTAAATTTCATACTGTTTTATTCACTATGAGGGCTATTCCATTTCTTTAAGGGATTCTTGCCCACACGAGTATATATAGTGATCATTTGAATTAAATTTTCCCATTCCCTTCCATTTTACTTCACTAATTCCTAGGATATTAATGTTCAATCTTGCCATCTCCTGCTAGACCACATTCAATATACCTTGATTCATGGACCTAACATTTCAGATTCCTGCGCAATATTCTTTACAGCCTTGGACTTTATTTTCACCACTAGACACATCCACAACTGAGAGTTGTTTCCACTTTAGCCCAGGCACTCCATTCTTTCTGGAGCTAATAGTAACTGCTCTTGCCTCTTCCCCAGTAGCATACTGGACACCTTCCAACCTGGAGGGCTTATCTTCCAGTGTCATATCTTTTTGCCTTTTCCTACTGTCCATGGGGCTCTCTAGGCAAGAGTAGTGGAGTGCGTTGCCATTTGTGCAAGCCACTTCGCCACAACAAGGCTGTGATTCATGAAAGGGAAGTTAAATATACTTCAAACAAAACAGTGGCAAAGTCTGTGAGCTTGAAGGAGAGGGGAATTAATCTTTGACCCTGTACAGCCTTCATCTTCTCAGTTTACTGGGGTACCTGCAGCCAAACTGCATTTTTCTAAAATCTTTACAACTGCCATATGAGGCGATTTTATCCTCCTGTTTTGCAAATGAGGGGGTTTTGGCCCTGAAGTTAAGTCATTTGCTAAGAGTCCATGGCTAATAAGTATCAAAAGGGGATTTAAATCAGTGTGGCTCAGCTGATAAACCTTGAATGACTTTTTGTTACATTTAGAAACAATTTCCATCCCAAACTGAATGTTAAGAATGTTGCTGAAATATTTACTTTGGGGTAATAATAACAATAAGTTTTCAATGAGAAAAAAAGAAGAAGAAATCTGACCTCCTATCCCAGCACTGAAGAACCTGCATGGGACCTCCCCGAACCTCTCCAGCATCCTTTCCTCCCTTGTCCCGTTGTTGGCTGACCTTCAGGCGCTGTGTCTTCTTTCTCTCTCAAGCTTTGTACTTTGTTTCCTTGGCCTCAGAGCACTCCTATTTCAGTCTCCTCACAGCTTCTTATCACTCCATCCTCAACTAAATCTTCTCAGACTGTTTTCTTGCAGCAGGACTGTCCTGCTTCACTCTCTTCACTGCCTTCACTCTTCTTCACTTTATCATCTCCTTGCACATAAAGGGACTTGACATTGTTTTACAGACTCGTTTTCTATATCTCACCCCTTAGAGCGGGAGCCTCTTGGAGGCAGATCTCTGCCTAATTTACTGCTCTCTCCCCAGGGGTCAATATCTACCTAGCTTAGAGGAAACAGTAAATTTTTATGAACTGGCTGGCTTCAGTGCCCTTGAGTAAATGTGCCTGTTCTTTAATACCTTCAGCCTTCACCAACTCTGTGACCAACAGGTGATAGAGGTAGTTCAAGTTTACTAAAGGTGAATTCAGCCTTTCAGTCTCAGAGAGATAACAAGTTCTCCATTTTGAGACATGATAATAAACAGCACTTTCAGGGATGTTAAAATGTTAAAATCCTGTTAAAATCCTCTGGAAAGAGGATTTTAAATACATTAAATTATTTTTGTATTAGGTTATTGCATTAAAAAAGTAAGATATAGAGTCAGACCCAGGCTAGTTCTTAGTTCTGTTCCATAGTTGCTGAAAGATCAAACCTTCAGAGTTCTGGCTTTTTCAGGCGTGAAATCAGTGTCACAGCCCACCTCACAATGTTGTGAGTATTAATAGCTTGGAGTAAAAAGCATAAATACCGTACATCTTGTATTAGTCGTTCAGTCATGTCCAACTCTGCAACCCCATGGACTATATAGCCCGCCAGGCTCCTCTGTCCTTGCTGTCCATGAAATTCTCCAGGTAGTAATACTGGAGTAAGTAGCCATTCCCTTCTCCAGGGGATTTTCCAGACCCAGGGATTGAAACCAGGTCTCCTGCCTTGCAGGCAGATTCTTTACCATCTAAACTGTAAATCTAAATCTACATCTAAATCTAAATCTAAATTTACATCTAAATGTGAATTAATTTTAATATAATTTTTAATTAATTTTAATATAATTTTTAAAATGTTTATTGGAGGATAGTTGCCTTCCAATGTTTTTTTAGTTTCTGCTGTACTGGAAAGTGAATCAGCTATATGTATACATATTTGTTGTTATTTAGTCACTGAGNGATCCCTCTGGGTCTTCCCAGTGCACCAGGTCCGAGCACTTGTCTCATGCATCCCACCTGGGCTGGTGATCTGTTTCACCCTAGATAATATATTTAGTATTCATCATCAAAGTCATTTTAAATTGGAGTTGGAATTAGGCCCCAGTGTTATTAAAGGAAAAAGAGAAACATGATTTTGGTTTATATTAGGAAATCCTATAAATGTATTGTTGTTATATAGTTATATTTACATAAAATATTTACAGTTGACCTTTGAATAATGTGGAGGTTAATTCAAGTATCATTTATAGTCAGCCTTCCATATCTGCAATCCCGCATCCATGGATTCATCCAACCACAAGCGATGTAGTACTGCTGTATCTGCTGTTGAAAACATATCCAAGTGGACCTGTACAGTTCAAACCAGTGTTGTTCAAGGCTCAACTGTACATGTATAAGTATATAGTCATATATATTTATAATATGAATTATCTGACACCAAGTCATATATTACTGAATTTCTCTTTCTGAATCTTACATGTAGCAATCTTTGAAACACTAAGATTTAAATCAGAATTAAACTAGAAAAAAGGTGTTTTTGGTCTTATTCTCTTGCCAATGGATTTTCTTCCCCAAGATGCCACATCTGGAAATAAAGATATTCTGCACAAGACACTGTGTTTGGATTCAGAATTCTGCATCGACTTAGGCAAAACCGAATGATGGTGTAGAGAAAGCTTGAACTTAAATATATTTCTTTAGCATCACCTGTTGTTTACCTCACAATCAAGCTCTTTCTCATTCTATTTTTTTAGAAGGTGGTCTAGCAAGTCGCTTACAGCAGATTCAAGTGCCTGTGTTAGAAAGAGAGGTCTGCGAACACACTTACTATTCAGCCCATCCAGGAGGAATCTCAGAGAAGATGATCTGTGCTGGCTTTGCAGCATCTGGAGGGAAAGATGTGGGCCAGGTAAGAGGATCCTGATTTTTTCAAGGAAGATAGGAAGTTGTTATCTGCTGGAGATTCTCCATAGACGAGAATAATCCACTCTCAAAGCCATAAACAAGCGTGCCCACAGCATCACACCACACCCCTATTCAAAAGCCAGACCGAAGCAGGCATCAGTCAGAGGGCAAGTGGGTACGTAGGGGAGCCCATGAGAAGGTAGGAGAGAGCCGCACCACTCAACTGACCTGCTGGTGAGATGTGTTCAGATATGCTTAGGACTTTGCTAAAAGGGCAATGAACAAATAAGGATTCTCAGTTAATCCGTCCCACTTGGGATATAAGAATTTTATTGTTTCAAATTATTACTAAATCCCTGTGTACTTACACAATTTTCTACCACAGAATAAAATAAAACAATCATGAGGAAAATGAGAACCTTTGAAAAAATGGTTTTCATATGCAATGGAAAACAAGTCACAAAGCAGTAGTTGAATTTCAGTAATACCACAGAGGTACAAAGCTACATAGGTGGACTCATAAGGTCAGTTGGGCAAGCATGCTGTTGGCGAGTTCAGCATTAAGTAAGAAAAAGACAGGATGTGTGCAAGAGGATTGCAAAATACCAGCTTTAATATCCATGTAGCCAACTGAGAAATGTGACTTAGGTATGCAACCGAAAAGCATTTCCAACAGGAAGTAGCCCTACCTTCAGTTCCTAGGCTGAATTTGAGGGAGGCTGCCTGAAGGAAGGCAGACACATATCTCCAGATTGGTATTTCCTTTCATGCTGGGCTAGAGAGGGAAGAAAGAATGAGTCTTGAATCATTGTAGCTCTTTGATGGTACACCCCAGCCCCCACCATCAGGAAACATGAACCAATGGGTATCACCTCTAAAGAGAGAAAACTGGGCTATAATCTGGGTAGAAGTCTTTCCATGTAAAAACATGAGGACAAAAGGAAGGAGGTCC